ACCCTCTGCTACATTATTTGCCAGAACCTGTGCTCTTTGTGTTTTTCTTTTGTTTGCTTGCTTATTGTCTGTCTGAAATTCTACATTAAAAGTCCTTGAAAGTAAGAGCTGTGTCTGTCAGTCATTTATCCATTGTGTAGAACAGTGATGGTGCACCTATGGCATATGTATCTCAGCTGGCTGTGAAAAACTCTAAAAAGTTTGCAATTACTGGTCTAGGGTTTTCATGAATGACTTGGCTCTTTGCAGCTGTTTTGTGTCATCCAGAGATAATCCACTAACAACTAAAAAGTAATCCCAGCACTCAGGACACTGAGGCAGAGGGTTGGTGCAGGTTCAAGGCCAGCCTGGGCTACATAGTAAGTTTAAGAATGGCCTGGACTATGTATATTGAGATCTTGTCTCAAAAAGGAAAAAAAGGATCGAAAATAAGTTTGTAACAGTAGGATTGGGGCCAGTATTAGCATTGGGCTGGGGAGATAGCTCAGTAGAATAAGTGCTTGCCTGGCAAGGGCAGGGTCCTGAGTTCAGTCACTGGTACGGGGGTGGGGGAGGTGGGAATTACAATATTGTAGTTCCAGAGTTGAGTGTACTTGTCAGTTCTAAGGAGTGGGGGTGGTGACACATGGCTGTAACCCCAGCACTCTCAAGGCTGAGGAAAGAGGACTACTGTGAATTTAAGAACATCCTGGGCTACATAGTGAGACCCTCCCTTAAATTAAAAAAAAAAAAAAAAATATGCAGAAGTATTAGCCTTGGCTCTGTGTGTTTAGATGACACTGTTCTTCATTTTAATGAAAATGAGCTTAATTTTCCACTTTTGGGATGTTAAAATACAAATTTCCTTTTCCTCTAACAACTAAAGCATGACATTTTCCATTTATTATGTATGTGAAGAATTTTTACGTATTACATGTTTTTGTTTTATTTATTTTTATTTTTTTGTGAGAGGTTTTGCCATGCAGCCTTGAGCTCATTATGTACTTCATATTCAGCCTTTTGAGTTTTAGGAATTTTGGGCTTCTACCCTAATCCCTACTATGGTTTTTTTTTTTTTTTTTTTTTTTAAATTAGTCATTTCATCTGTTGTTTAAAGAGATGTTTTTAGATAATAAGAAAAGTTTTTGTTTCAAAGGGTCTTACACATTTGAATATATTTTCTTTTACTAGGTGTAATTAAAAAGTGAACCTTTCTTCAGAGATGTCAAAAACAAACAAATCAAAGTCTGGGTCTCGCTCTTCTCGCTCAAGATCGGCATCAAGATCTCGTTCTCGTTCATTTTCGAAATCACGATCCAGAAGTCGATCTGTCTCTCGATCAAGAAAGCGCAGGCTGAGGTAAGGGGGGTATGGTTTTGTTCATTGAGATGATCATTGCATCAGTCCCTGTTTTGAAGATCTTTTGTGAGACTTTTGTGACAAGATGGGCTAGTCTTGAGTTGGGAGTGATAGACTGAGAGATACACTCCAAGCCTCCTCAAACTGTAAATCCAAGTTAGCTCTAATTGCTGTAATGTTTAGTTCCTGTTTTGCTCTGTCATCATGTATTACATACTTAGAACCCACTCTGGAAGAAAGAGCATTTTTATTTTTATCTAAACTACTTGCTTGGAATCTCTACACGTGATTATTTTTCACTAAAGTTTTTATTTTGGTTTATTTTTATTTTTTATTTTTATTTTTTGCGGAACCAGGGATTGAACTCAGGCCCTTGGCTTGCCAGGGAAGCACTTATTCTACTGAGCCATCTCCCTGGCCCTATTTTGATTTATTTTTCATTAATTTTTTTTTTTAATTTTTGTTTGCTTTTGTGGCACTGGGGATTGAACCCAGGGCCTTAACAAATGTTAGGTGAGTGCTAGACCATTAAGGTATGTTTTCATTCTTTCTTAGATTTTGAGACAGAGTCTCACTAAATTACCTGACCTGGACTCAAAGTAGGGATTCTTCTAACTGCCTCAGCCTACCAAATAGCTGGGATTATAGTGATGAAGTATTTTTGAAGCCTTACACCACAGCTTATTTGTGTAGTTGAGACCATCCTTGAATTTAGTAATCCCGTACGCAAGGAAAGAGTAGAGGATAAACAACATTGCAAGGAGATGTAATCCACTAAAATAAGAAATTTAGAAACTTAGTGTCATTGTGTCTAATGTGTCAGGTACTGACAAGCTGAATCTGTTTAGTAAAACATACCCTAAAACAATCCAAAAGTCAGTGCAGTAAGTAAAGTGAGTGTGGTGGCATATGCCTATAATCTCAGCACTCAGGAGGCTGAGGGAGGATTGCCATGAGTTCAAGGCCAGCCTGCACACAATGAGACCCTGTCTGAAAAGCAAACAAAATTCATTGCTATAACTATCACTTTCTTACTAAGTGCAAAAATTAATTTTTAGAAATTTATTGCCAGTCTTTAAATTCAGTCTCTTGTCACTTCAGTAGATCTCTATTGTGTTTGAAAATAGGATGACATACTGGAGCATCTTTCCTCTTTTCATGTGTTATAAGGCTTCTTATTCAGTAAAAGCATTTACATTTTTTTTGTGTGTGCAAATACAAACCTTTTAGCACATAGAAATTTCTTTATGGGAGTTTGAGGAAAAAATACCAAAGAAATAGTACTAAAGGAAGATCTTTTGTGCATTTTTCACTCATTCTTTCAAAATGGCACTTAGCAAGGAGATCATTTGTCAGTTTTACACCTTGAACCCCTGCTGTTTATTCTAGATGAATATCTAGAATCTTTTTCTTAGAAGAATAGATTATGAAATTTAAAATAAACCTCAGTAAAGGTCAATAATCAAACTTTACTTCTGGTGGTTTCCTTAGTTCATCTCTAAAGAAATTTTAAAGAGTCTATATAGTACATGACTGGGTTTTATTCTTCCCTCCTGACAAGAACTAGTTAATTCCCAAAAAATAGGGTATGTGAGAACCCAGCTCCTAAATTAATTTAAAACTAGGGATTAAACAGAAAATCTGTATGCATAAATAATATGGGGGAAACCAAGTTTATTTTCACCTCAAGAAAATTGATGTCAAATTATGGGATTCAGCAGGTTCCTAACTCCTGCCTTTCACCCAGTCTTGATTTAGGTGGCATAAACCGTGCTGTTATCTTACTTGGTTCTGAAACATGTTTTAAAATTTAATCTAGTAAATGGAAGCTAAACAAAGGCTATACAATCAAAACCGAGAGATAAAATTGAATCGGCACAAACCAAATAGAAAAATGTCATCCGAGTCTGAAGTGTTTGTACCAACTGGAATCCTGGGAGATCTTTTTTCCTGGTCTTATGGATCGTTTGGTGTGGCCATTGACTTGGCAAATGAAGGAAAAACATCTTAGGCAATCTGTGCTAGGTAGGTCTAGAGCCACTGTATGTGCTGTCTTATAACTAGAGGATTATTACTCTGGAGGAATTTCTCCACTAAAAAACATGCTTTTTATACTTTAGTCTGACTTCTCTGTGCTTTAGAAACAGATAAATTTGCCACTGGGATGCTCAGTTTTTATTTCTGGCTTATCTGTTTTCATGTTTGTTTGGTCCCCCCCCCCTTTTTGTTTTTATTTTTCCTCTCCTGCAAGGAAAGTATATTATACAGACAATTTGAGAAACCATTGCCTTTAAATTAAATAGCTGGTGTTAACCAACTGGAATTGGAGAAAATTGATTATTTTCTTGTATTTCACAGACTGTATCCTTTTCAGTGACTTCTCTTAAATAACTTCATTTGCAATTTGCAGAGACTCATGTGCCTGCATATGCAGTGCTGCAAGTTTGGGATGCAGTATGCCGCAGGGCCCTCACTAGTAATTGGTATCCACCGTAGCCTGTGAGATGATCATGAATTAAACCCTTCTTAGTGTTGGTGGTGGATCACCTCCTCAGGTGTAGCCATTTAATTGGGTCATATTCCATTTCATAGCCTGCATCTGCCTCTCCTTTCTTTTTCTTATACTGTTACGTTTCTGAATGAGAAGTGTGGAAGGTAAGTTTTTTTTTTAATTGTATTTAATAACCATTAACAATCAGTAATAAGATGTATCTTTACCAGCTGGTGTTCTTCATTGGGTAGATAAAAAGTTGGCATAGTAGGTAATCAGCAAAAAAAGAAAAAAAAAACTGGTAATAAGCTGTAATGGAAAACCAGTACTATCCCAGTACTACTTTATCTGCTTTAATTTTTTCTCCCCCCCTTGGGCAGAACCAAGGATTGAACTCAGGTCCTTGCGCTTGCCAGGCAACCGCTTATTCTACTGAGTTATCTCCCCAGCCCCTGCTTTGGATTAAATTGAATGTAAATTTTTTCTTAAAAATACTGTTTTGTTTAGTTTTTAAATTTTTTTAAAAAATAAAAACCTGACACATTTGATTTATAGTACTGCACAGCAAACCCTCAACCCCACTTTAGTCAATGTGTTGTAAGATCAGAGGATGTTTGCTTGATACTGCATAATGTGAAATTCTGTGCATAGTACTGCTTTTTCCTATATGCATAAACCTGTGATAAAGTATAACTTATGAAGTAGCCATGGGAACAGCTTAACAATAACTAATAAAATAGGACAATTATAATATACTATAAAACTCTAAAATTATTTCCATAACTGTTGTTCATTTCTGGAATTTATCATTTAGTAGTTTTGACTGCATTTGGCAGTTGTTAACCGAAAATAGTAAAAAGCAAAGCCATGGATAAAAGTGAACAAAGCCCAGGGCTGGGATGTGGCTCAGTGGTAGCGTGTTTGCCTAGCATCTGTGAGACACTATGTTCAATCCCCAGGACTGCAAACTAACAAAGAAAGACACTTGCCAAGTTAGGCGGGGTATAAAAATGCCTGCTGATAAATAACTGAAGACTTTTGATTTGTATTTTCAAGTAAATTTCCTTGCAGTGTTTTCTAGTAAATAATCCACACTTTCAGCTAACTTCTTAGGAGTAGGAGTTAATATTAGTGATTTGCATTCAGGAATCCTGGAGGATTTTTACAGTGCTTTTTGGTTTTCTGATAGAAACCAGCTTTCCACTTGTTGACCAGCCTGGGATTCATGAACCTGTAGTATTTGCAAAGTTAGGTCACTGTTGAAATCCCCATGGTTCTGGCAATATATCTTTGTTGCATTAGAATTCTAATTGTTAAATGAACAATAGTACTAGTTTCCGCTTCAAGTTTCAAGTTTTGTTTTAAGATAGGGTTTCACTATGTAGTGCAGGCTGGCCTTACTTATGTAGCCTCACCTGCCTCAAATGCCTCCCACCTCAGTCTTCCAAGTGCTGGGGTTACGAGCATGTGTCACTATATACTGAAAATTGCAAGTTTTTGTAATTTTCTCTTGTTCATCTCATATATGTCTAAGTGAGTGCCTTATGATCAGAGAGCACCCTCTTGTGGCTCTTTGGTAAGATCAGACAGCTCTCCCAGAGATTTGACTTTACTAGGCCATTTTTACTCTTGATGTCAGTAAGTTCTCCTAACTTTTCAACAGATTCATTCTATGTTTCTTTGGTGTTGAGCTGTCACAGCTATACTTTTACAATCCCAGGTCTTATGGGGTCTAAGAAACTTGCCCTGTGCAGAGAGATGACTAGAAGGTCCTGGAGTACCCCTCTCTTTTTAATTTTTTTTAAAAAAACTTAGCTAAGAGTCTCACTATGTAGTTCAGGTTAGCCTTCAACTCATTATATATCCCAGGCTGATCTTAAAGATACCCCTGCCTCAGCCTTAAAAATGTTAGGATTACAGGTGTGCACAACCACGCCCAGTAAGTATAGGGCCAGAGTATTTGCCTATCTAGGTACCAGTTTTTCTCTCTTCCAATGATTTGGGGATTTGTTCAATAATCTGAGCCTGTGAGACTAATTGCATTTATGTAAAAATGACTTTTTGTTTGGTTTACTACATTTAAAAAAAATGACTCCTTCAGTTATTACAGAAATACATTTGTCATAAATGTGCTACAATTTTTTAAAGAAATTATCTTAGTATCATTTGTTAAGATGACTCAGCTAAAAATAAAAAATAAAATGACTAAGCTATAATTCTATACTTAATATGGACCATAAGGATAAGTTTGCATCTTTGCTTTGAAAGGAAAACTAAAGGGCCAGGTTTATAATAGCTCAGTGGCGTAAGTGCCTGCCTGGCAAGCGCAAGGTCCTGAGTTTGATCCCTGGTACCAAAAAAAAAAAAAAAGAATGACATAAGAGCAGGGATAACTTGTTGGTGTTTTTTTTTTTTGTTTTGTTTGTTTGTTTTGTTTTTTTGTACGTAATAAATACTATGTCAAAATTCAAACATTTCCCCCTTTCCCTTCCTCTGCAGTTCTAGGTCTCGTTCCAGATCATATTCTCCAGCTCATAACAGAGAAAGGAATCACCCCAGAGTATATCAGAATCGAGATTTCCGAGGTCACAACAGAGGCTATCGGAGGCCCTATTATTTCCGAGGGCGCAACAGAGGCTTCTATCCATGGGGCCAGTATAATCGTGGAGGCTATGGAAACTACCGATCTAATTGGCAGAACTATCGGCAAGCGTATAGTCCTCGTCGGGGCCGGTCTCGATCCCGGTCCCCAAAGAGAAGGTCTCCTTCACCGAGGTCCAGGAGCCATTCTAGAAACTCGGATAAGTCATCTTCTGACAGGTCAAGGCGCTCCTCATCCTCTCGTTCTTCCTCCAACCACAGCCGAGTTGAATCTTCTAAGCGCAAA